CTCATTTCAACATCTAACCAAGATAAAAATTATAATTTACATTTTTTAAAATTAAGTCTTCAAAATCCATTGTGCACTTTAAACTTCAAGCATATCTCAGTTCAGATTTGAAACATTTCAAGTACTCAATAACCACATATGGCTAGTGGCTACCATATTGGACCATATAGCTTTATGCTCTCTCTCTAGGCAATCTAAACCATATCCCTTGCTCTAAACACACATTTATATCTACATTCCAGGGCTCTCCATGAACACCGACCAGTAAATTCAACAGCTTACTCAACATCATCATTCTCACATTGCTCAGCCACCTCAAAATTCTCGCCACAAGGATTTCCAATCTATCCTGACAGAACTGTTCCTAAATCCCAATGTTCTCTTTATTGATGGGGACCACTCCATTCACATGGTTGTTCAAGACAAAAACGTGGTATCTTTGCCTTGGTAGTCTCTTTGTTCAACCTCCACTTCCATCTCTATCAACAAGATATGGTGATTTTATTTCCTACATATTTCTATTGTCTGACTGCTTTTCACCATCTCCACTGCCATGATTTTTGTCCAAGTACACATTCACCTCTCACCTGGATTGAAGTCCCTGCCTCCCTAAAATCCACTTTTCACCCAACTGACAATCTTATATAATAAAATTATTTCTATTTTCACTATTAACTGAAATTTAGCATTTCTTTCAATCATGAATCTAGCCAAGGGGTCTGTAACTTTATTGCCAATGAAAATCACAGCTTGTATTCACAGCACTTAACTATCATTACAGATATCTTGAAATATTATGTTCCTCAAAACCTCAAATATTATTTCATTTTTTGACACATGAAAATTGCATATATTTATAATGTACAATATGATGTTCTGAAATATGGATACATTATGGAATAGCTAAATCAATCTAACATATGCATTACCTCACATAGTTATTTTTGTGTCAAGAACACTTAAAATCTACTTAGAAATTTTCAAGAATATAATACATTGTTATTAACTATAGTCACAGTGTTGTACTCTCTTGAACTTATTCATCCTGTCTAACTAATTGAAATCTTGTATCCTTTAACTAATGTCTCCTCAACCCTCTCCCACCCCCTGCCCTGGTAACCACCATTGTACTGTCTACCTCTATGAATCAGGTTTTTTAGATTCCACATATAGATGAGATCACGCAATATTTGTCTTTCTCTTCCTAGCTTATTTCATTTAACATAATGTCTTTCAGGTTCATCCATGTTGTTGCAAATGACAGGATTTCATTCATTTTTAGGGCTGAATAGCTGAATAGTATTCTATTGTGTAAATATACCATATTTTTTGCATCTATTTATCTGTTGATGGACACTTAGGTTGTTTCTATATCTTGGCTATTGTGAGTAATGCTACAGTGAACATGCGCGTGTAGATATCTCTTCAACATACTGATTTCATTTCCTTTGGATATGTACCCAGTAGAGGGGTTGCTGGGTCATATGGTAATTCTATTTTTAATTTTTTTTTTTTTTAAGAACTCCATTCTACTTTCCAAATGGCTATACTAAAGTATTATCATTTTAGCTCTTGCTATTTGAAGCTCAAATAAAGAAGCACAAATATTACCATATCAAATATTTTTAAAAATACTTTAAGAACTCCATTCTACTTTCCAAATGGCTATACTAAAGTATTATCATTTTAGCTCTTGTTATTTGAAGCTCAAATAAAGAAGCACAAATATTACCATATCAAATATTTTTAAAAATACTTTGAAAACTATTTCAATGTGGCATTGTTTCTTTACTAAAATTCATATTTTATTGTGTGTACTTAGAGATTTATTTTAAGAAGATGAATACAGGCTCAACTAGACTTCCAAAGAAATCCATAGTACAATAAAAGTTAAGAACCCCTGTTTAAGGATTCCAACAAACATCTTACATATAAAGTAGACTGGAGACAGGTGACATAAAAATAGGGTGGCAGAATTCTACTTATCCAGTTGGGATCAGATGACTGAATCATCCTAGCTGTTAGCAAAGTCAGGCCGATTCCTTCATCTAGAATGTCAATTGTATGACCACAGGACACTGGGCTTACTAGAGTATTACACTCTATTCATCTACGTGCATCTGTTAGAAACATACAACTTGATCATTGTTTTTGTCAATTAAACGTAATTTCTCACCTTACTTTTGTTAACTATCAGCCCTCTGGTGTGACTGGAGATGAAGAGCAGAAGGTCTTATAGTAAGTCAAATGATAACTAACCATTTCTGGAGGGTAAAATCCCTACTGTGAAATTCCAAATATTTATTTTCTAGGGCTGCTGCAGCAAATAACCATAAACTGGGTGGCTTAAAATAGCAGAAAATATCTTATCACTGTTGTGAAGGCCAGAAGTCCCAAAAGTGTCAACAGGGTTGGTTCCTTCTGGAAGCTTCTTTTTTTTTTCTTAAAAAAACAAAAATTGGGTCGGCCCGGTGGCGCACTGCTACAGTGCGCCGCTTGGGAGCATGGCGGCGCTCCCGCCGAGGGTTCGGACCCCACATACAGACCGGTTCCCACTCACTGGCTGAGCAAGGTGCAGGCGCAACACCAAGGGTTGCGATCCCGTTGCCGGTCCCAGTCCGGTACGGGCGCGACACTGAGGGTTGCGATCCATTGCCGGACATGAAAAAAGACAAAAAAAAAAAAAAAAAACAAAAATTAATTTTC